TTGTCTATGTTGATGATACTATTATTACTGGGACGGATTCTGCTTTAATTACCCGTCTACAGCAGCATCTTCAGGCCGCGTTTCATATAAAGGATCTTGGATCTCTGACATACTTCTTAGGGTTAGAAGTTCACACCGATTCCTCTGGTATTTTCTTGAATTAACATAAATACACGTAGGATTCGATTAAGTTAGCTGGTCTTCAGGATTCATCTACCGTGGATACTCCTCTTGAAGTAAATACAAAGTATTGTAGTGAGGAAGGTGATCGTTTATCTGATCCTACTGTGTTTAGTCAATTGATGGGCAGCTTGAATTATTTGACCATTACTCGACCTGATATTTCCTTCGCGGTCCAGCAGGTTAGCCAGTTTATGCACACTACACTTCATCTTCATCTTGCTGCTGTTCAATGTATCATTCGCTATCTTCGAGGTACATCTAGTCGTGGATTATTTTTTCTGCCAGCTCTCCTATTTGTCTTACTGCTTTTAGTGATGCCGATTGAGCTGGTTGTCCTGACACTAGACGAACTGTTACGGATTGGTGTATGTTTCTTGGTGATTCTCTAATCTCTTGGAAAAAGTTCCGAGATTATTAGGCTTCGTGGCCTTCTAGCTGAACAGGCAAATGAAGAGGCATTCAAAATAAAAAATCATTGAGTTTGACACCCTACTGATCGTTTATTATAACTTAAATACCCATCTTATAATGATCCTTTTTTGAAACAAAATCCTCTAAAGATGATCTCAAATTTAACACTTTCACCATAAAAAATAAGAGCATTTCGCACATGTTATTTTTTGTTGCATAAAGAACTAATCATTCAAATAGAAAAAAATTACACGTGTCGTCATCTCCGTCACAAATATTTCTTTTAAAATGGTGATCAATTTAAGTTGAAAATGGAAAGAAAATGATGACCATGTGTTGGACTAGAATAATTTTACTACAAAAAAAATTCCAATAAAACAACAGAAAGTTACCAGCATTGGCAGGAATGGTCCAAGGAGTTGTAGTCCAAATAGCAATGCCCAAATTAGGAAAGAAATCCTCTAGCATTTCACATGAAGTGGGGACAGAGACTAATTTGAAAACTGCATATACGCTCTTTGAAACATGACCTTCCGGATACTGCATTTAAATGTCAAATAAATGACGAGATGAAAAATAATATTATAGCTTTAACTTGCAATACTACTAATTCACCCTTGCCACAGCATTCTGACTTCTTATCATATACAAGAGCATTATCATATACACTGGAATAGTTCCCGGGGAAGAATACTGGAAGAGTAGAAGGTTCATTTACCTCCAATTCAGCTTCAGCAAGAGCAGTTCGGGATGAAGGACTCCAGTGAACTGGTTTTCTGCCTCTGTAAATACACCCTTGTAACGCCATCTGGCCAAACACTTCAATCTAAACAAGGACATGTTGATAGGGTGATAAAGTAAGTTGTGAGTTTACATGGAAATTTTATGATTATTCTGTAAAAAAGATGAGCCCTTCCACCTAATTAGCATGGAAGTATGAACAGTGTAACCATGTAGGGTGATTTGAAACAAAAAGATGAGAATAGAGTCATTTTTTAAACATAATGGTGTAAATCGGCCCTTCCACCTAATTAGTATGGAATTATAAGAGTGTAACCACGTAGGGTGATTTGAAACAAAAAGATGAGAATAAACATACTGGTGTAAATCAACCAAGCATAAAAGGAGAGTATAAAAAATGTAATTCCAGAAAAAAAAAAAAAA